TATTCCTACACAATGCTTGTGTTCCCATTGCCCTCTCAATAAACAGTTAATTTCATTCGTTATTTCTTACATGACTTGAGTGCAAACCTATTCCCATGGTTTAGCTCTTGATTATTGATAGCATCCTGTTTGCCAATTTTGCTTTCCTGTGCTCACTTAACCTCTTTGGTATTCTGTTTCTGTACAGCGATGGGGCTGCTGCATTAGTTCTAGTGAGTGGAGAGAAGGCACTTAAGCTTGGACTAAAAGTTATTGCTAAGATCAAAGGATATGCTGATGCAGCACAGGTATTGTTAAAAAAAAAAAAAGTATTTATGTTGTGAATTTGGATTAAGAACTTGTGCTCTAACAATGTTTGTGGACAGGCACCTGAGCTATTTACAACTGCTCCAGCTCTTGCAATACCTAAAGCAATATCAAGCTCTGGCTTGGAGCAATCTCAAATTGATTATTATGAAATCAATGAGGCATTTTCTGTAAGGACCTCTCTCCTGTCTTCTGCTATTACTGATAGTTTTCCAATTTGTTACTAGTGTTTTAGCTTTGTTTGTGAAGGTTGTGGCTCTTGTCAACCAGAAGCTGCTCAATATCGACCCGGTGAGTCTTCTCTTGCCCTTTGCAGTCTTTCTTTGACCTGTTATAAATGGGATCATCAAGATCGTGTCTACCATTTGGTTTATCAAATTTGTTAATTTTCTTTGTCTATCCATATTGGGCCATCTTTTCATGTTCCTCGATTCTTGTCCCTCTGTTACAGGAAAAACTTAATGCACATGGTGGAGCTGTGGCTTTGGGACATCCATTGGGCTGCAGTGGAGCTCGCATCTTAATTACATTGCTGGGGGTAATCTCATGACTATTTCTTCTAGAATTTTGTTTAAATGGAAAAGCATAGAGATGTGCAACTAGTCAACCATTTAACTGATTCTCTTCTCTTCCTCTCTCTCTCTGTGTCTCAAACATGCATGTATATGTGTGTGTCTACATATTCTTTTGCTCTTTAAATGCTGCAGGTTATGAGAGAGAAAATTGGCAAGTTTGGGGTTGCTTCAGTCTGCAATGGGGGAGGAGGAGCATCTGCCTTAGTTATGGAGCTCATGTAAGTCTCTTGGTTTACTCATTTATAAGTTTTGTAACTTTTATGTCATCAGGATTTCTTAATTCAGGAATCAGTGCACTGATCTGCATGTTGTCGTTTGTGCGCAAGCACATCATGTATTCTTTCACCTCAATTCTGAAAATTACGCTGATGGCCTAATATTCTGAACTGGGTAGGAGGAAAAAGTAAAAATGCTGATGGTTGTCTATGGTAATGATAATATAGATACCAGTGTCCCAATTTTTCTCCCAGACATTGAGAACACTTTGTGCTACTTGGCTCTGGAACCTGATATGTTACCAAAGTGGTTCATCGAGTTGCCTCTGCAACTTTTTCAGTACTTTCTCCTAAGAGCAAACTATAATATAGGCAGTTGTGCTACCTCCTTATGCCTGTTCAATTCACAGCTATTTCTGCAAGTCACTGCCTGCTTTGTTGTCTAGTGAATCTAAACAGTGTTACCGAACTAGATAAAAGATGTTAGGACAAAGATCTCTAGATGCTTTATGATTACTGCACAATAACATGGACTGTACAATTACAAGTATATAATTTTTAGCAGAACATTGAATCAATGATTATCAGGTCAGAAGAATGAAAGAAACTAAACATGTTCTTATTGCAAATGAAAATTTATTGGAATGGAATGGCTACCCTTGCTGTGTGTTTGAAGTTGTGACCAGTTAGCAACACCAGGGGAGAATGTAGCAGTAATGCAGAAAGAGATTTTCATCCAAAATTTATGATCACAGTGCTGGTTAATAGTAGCTGTTTATTACACATTGACAAGATTATTAATGTGCAACCTTTAGATCATGTCATTTAGCGGTTGCTCAACATATTTTAAATGTACGAAAACTTTATATATTGCAGGCCAGTTACAAGGGTGGTGCGCTCCTCGCTTTAAAACTCAGATGTTGGTTGCAGAAGTGTCACTTTCACTGCCAGCTGATGTATGATTACTCCTTGCTGAACCCTTTTTTTTTTTTTTTTCGCCTTACTAGTTTTTGTAATTAAATGGTGCATCAAATGGTACCATCAAATAGTGCGGAGTACAGTTGTCTATGACTCTGTATAATTTGCCTCGTTGACAAGAGAGTGACTACTGATGCATGCTCATAATTAGGAAAAGAACTGCGACAGCACATTGTCTGAATCAATACCCAATCAACCCTCCTATTTCCCAATAGATTAGAATGGAAATTTCTAATTAAATTTTTTTTCTTTCATTTTTAAGAAATAGTAAGTTGACAATTTGTGAACATTCATATATATATATATATATTCCAAGCACAAGAAGGAAGAATTCACCAAAAGAATAAATGAGGTAGAAAGGAAGCATTTGAGGGAAAACATAAAGGTTGAATGGTACTCTCGTTGCTAAGATATGCGCTGAGAAAGCACCAACCCCATTTTCTGTTGCTCCTATCTGGAAAGAAACTCCTTTGAATTGTGGCTAATCAAGAGGATTCTACGTTAACAAATAAATCGCAAGTAAAATTGCTTTTTAAAGAGGAGTGCTTTGCTTCTTTAATTGTCACAATAATTAAGACTTGATTAAATTTATGACGAGATGCTTCATTTTTGTAACCGCTATCATTATTTACTATTATCAGAATGCTGTCACTCAATTGTGGGAGAAGAAAGTACATTTGGCATAATAAAAAAAAAAAAAGACCAAATGTCTTTTTAGCACCCTAATATAATAGACTCATGGTACCTTTTGGTATCAAATTATCTAACATCTATTTTGTTAGATTCAATTGACCTTAATGTTCTCTTTTATGGCATTTGAGTGGAACTTCTCAGGCTTTTTTTTAGTAATTTTTTGGTCCATTTTATGTGTCATTTTATGATTTTTTTTCTATAGTTTCATTGAGTTTTTTTTTTTCTTTTGTTTACCATTAATAATGGCTTGAAAATTACAGATACTTTTTGGGTTAAAAAACTATCTTTTAATTAATATGGTCATTACAATGATAGATACTATTTCGGTTGTAAAACTATCTTTTAATTAATATGGTCATTACTATCTTTTACTTAATATCTTTTAATAAAACTCTCTTTTAATATAGTCTTCAAATTATAAATTCACCATAACTCAAAGGGGTGTTTCATTTTTATAACTATTACCTTGAATTATATTGATTGATATTGATTATTATTAAAATGTGATAGAATTTATCTAATTAGGGAGAGCAGTTTTGGCATCACATTAACTAAAGCAACTAATTGATGATTTTTGCATCAAGATATATAAATGAATATAGACTATTTTATTCTTATATATTTCTCCTTTTTCCTAAAAGCATCTATTTTTTTGTTAACAATATTTTTTTAAAAATCTCAAATTTGGTTGATAAAAATTTTTGTCATTGCCTCAAGTCAGAAATTTGAAACACAAGAATTGGGGGTGGAGTGCAAGGGTTGGTAAAATAGTTTTAAAAATGGTTTTTAATTTTAATTACTAATAACATTATTGAGGTGTACTCAATTGGACACAGCGAAAATATATATATAAAAGCTCTAATTAAAAGACATGAGAGTAATTTAGACATGACAAAAACTAAGACCAAAAGTGCTTGCACTCTCTAATGCCTAGACCCATCATACATTTTGTATAGTAATGATGATTATGATAATGATAATAAATTTACTGAGTTCATATTTTTCAGTCGAATCTTTTATTGTATTTTTGAGAAAAATTCAGATAATATTTTGTAATATTTGCATGTCACTATGGTTAGGCCATTATTTATGCACACTAAATCTGATTACTGCGAACAATTTATTTTAGTAGAGAGTCAACGTAAGTAGGATGGATTTGGATCAGATTACTGATTGGAAATGGGAAACTTGCCGGTTAGTAGCATAATAAAGTATAAACTACGTACTACTATAGTCTATGAAGAATGGAAGTGTTGTTTCAGCTTGCTTTTGTAGAGGGCATGAATTGAGGAAAATACGGGGTCCTTGTTAAATGAGCGGTGGAGGACTTGCCTGAAGCCACGGGGGGCCTTCATTTCATTGACTTGGTTGGATGGCCGGGAATTTGCCCGTCCGTCTTATTACTGCAGATACCCATTTAGCTTGGCGTTTATTCCGGGCTGATAGTTGATTGATACCACCTTGATTCTCAAAACAACTATTCTTCCCAATCAAGTAGTGGGGGTTTTCATTTTAATTTCTTGGCGTTGTGTTGGAACAAGGATTTAGGGTGAATTTCCTAACGCCATAAAGAAAGTTTCTTCAACTTCCCCCACCCCCCTGAACATTGATGCCAACACCGGGCAGAGCTCAAAGTGGTGTATTGCTGTATGATATCTAATCTCAGCTAGTTGCCGTTATTGTTTCTCTCGGTCACAGGATTAATTCATAGGTCATTGACCATTTGCATGGTCTGCAGTCCCAATATATATATATACATATATCCTTCTTCATTGAGATTGAATGGGGAAATTAAAGGAGGAACGGTAACTCCCTGCTTTCCAAGAATATATAGAGTTTCACCCTTCTAATTTCTTGATTGTGCATGGGAGGTCAAATACATCTACATCTCGATCACCAATGCATGCAAAAGTGATCCATCATTTGAGGTATGTTTTATAGGCATGCTTTGTACCAGCCGAGTCTGCAATCATTTGAGGATTCTTGTCATTGTCACTCCTTATTTCCTTCCCAGCCATTCATTTTTACCGCTTTGTGTGTGTGTGTGTTTTATTTTCCTTTCCCGTTGGAGGGCATTGAAGTGAGCCATTTTCAAGAATCAACAACAATGCTCGTAGTAATTATTTTGGTGGATTGAACTAAATATGATATGATAGTACTTGACGAGCTTGCTACGTTTTTAAAAAAAAAATTAAAAGAAATAAATAAACTGAATTTTTTGTGGTGATTTAATTTGTTGTAGGTAAAAAAAGAAATTCTTACAATGTTCGGATTCCACATACGAACTCGTTCCTTGGATTCTACAATTCTGGCGGGTTCACCGAAACCAACAGTGGGGACTCCGAGATCCAGCAATGGAGGCTCTCCAAGAACTGAGGTGGGAGAGGTGGACACCAGCGCTCCATTTCAATCTGTCAAGGCCGCGGTTAGCTTATTCGGAGATCCTGCAACCTCGCCTAGGTCCAACAACGACGACAACAACAAGAAGCAGCCCCTTCTATCTAGAAAGCCAAAAAATTCCTCTGCTGCTGATGAGGTATAGTATTCTAAATTAAAGCCGCCCTTTTTTTTAAAACATAGAATCTATCGTATCGACAGCCAGCCACCATCACTTTTACCTCCATGGTCGGACGCAGGATAGTAATTTTTTTTTTTTTTTTTTTTTTGTTGGGCGTTTTGATACCACCTTGATTCTCAAAACAACTATTCTTCCCAATCAAGTAGTGGGGTTTTCATTTTAATTTCTTGGCGTTGTGTTGGAACAAGGATTTAGGGTGAATTTCCTAACGCCATAAAGAAAGTTTCTTCAACTTCCCCACCCCCTGAACATTGATGCCAACACCGGGCAGAGCTCAAAGTGGTGTATTGCTGTATGATATCTAATCTCAGCTAGTTGCCGTTATTGTTTCTCTCGGTCACAGGATTAATTCATAGGTCATTGACCATTTGCATGGTCTGCAGTCCCAATATATATATACATATATCCTTCTTCATTGAGATTGAATGGGGAAATTAAAGGAGGAACGGTAACTCCCTGCTTTCCAAGAATATATAGAGTTTCACCCTTCTAATTTCTTGATTGTGCATGGGAGGTCAAATACATCTACATCTCGATCACCAATGCATGCAAAAGTGATCCATCATTTGAGGTATGTTTTATAGGCATGCTTTGTACCAGCCGAGTCTGCAATCATTTGAGGATTCTTGTCATTGTCACTCCTTATTTCCTTCCCAGCCATTCATTTTTACCGCTTTGTGTGTGTGTGTGTTTTATTTTCCTTTCCCGTTGGAGGGCATTGAAGTGAGCCATTTTCAAGAATCAACAACAATGCTCGTAGTAATTATTTTGGTGGATTGAACTAAATATGATATGATAGTACTTGACGAGCTTGCTACGTTTTTAAAAAAAAAATTAAAAGAAATAAATAAACTGAATTTTTTGTGGTGATTTAATTTGTTGTAGGTAAAAAAAGAAATTCTTACAATGTTCGGATTCCACATACGAACTCGTTCCTTGGATTCTACAATTCTGGCGGGTTCACCGAAACCAACAGTGGGGACTCCGAGATCCAGCAATGGAGGCTCTCCAAGAACTGAGGTGGGAGAGGTGGACACCAGCGCTCCATTTCAATCTGTCAAGGCCGCGGTTAGCTTATTCGGAGATCCTGCAACCTCGCCTAGGTCCAACAACGACGACAACAACAAGAAGCAGCCCCTTCTATCTAGAAAGCCAAAAAATTCCTCTGCTGCTGATGAGGTATAGTATTCTAAATTAAAGCCGCCCTTTTTTTTAAAACATAGAATCTATCGTATCGACAGCCAGCCACCATCACTTTTACCTCCATGGTCGGACGCAGGATAGTAATTTTTTTTTTTTTTTTTTTTTTGTTGGGCGTTGGGTGGGGAGCAGAGAGTGCTCGAGAAAGAATCCGCCCTTCACTTGGCCCTCAAGCAACTGGAGGACTTCAGGGCACGACTCAAATGCACAGAAACCACAAAAGCTCAAGCTTTCCGGGAACTCGAGAAAGCCAACAGAACGCTACAGGAACTGACAAACAAGCTCGAAATCATTAGTGAATCCAAGCAAACGGCCATCGAGGAAACAGAAGCTGCAAAGCAAAGAGCCAGGGAGCTCGAGGAACACAAATCCAGCAGACAACACCTTGGCATCGATGCTTGGAAACAGGACGTCGACAGCGAAAGAGAACTATACAAGGCCTCCGCTGCTGAGCTCATCTCTGCTAAACAAGAGCTTACAACCCTCCGACAGGATTTTGATCGAGTCCTCGAAGCAAAACTGGCTGCATTTCAAGAGGCTGCGGACGCCCAGCACGTCACCCAAGTTTACCGAGACAGGCTAACTCGAATTTCCAGTGAAATCACCACCTTGCGCGATACACTGGGAGAGGTCAAGTTAGCCACGCTCCAGGCGCAAGAAGAAGGAAATAAGCATCACGAAGAAAGGCAGGCTCGCTTCCAATCTCGCCAAACAGCCAACGAACAAGTAGAGCTGAAAATCAAATCCTTGAAAGAAGAATTTGATGCTAGCGAAATTCTCGAGGAAAAGCTCGAAGAAACAACGGAGGCAGTCAAGCTTTTGCAAGAACAGCTGCAAAATGTTAGAGAATCAGATATGTCCTCTCTGAAAATCGCCACAGCAGAGCTTGATGATGCTACAAGAAAACTGCGAGAAATTGTGCATGAACAAAACTTACAGAGAAGCTCAGTAGATTTCCTTAAGGAGGAGCTTGATAATGTCAAGAGGGACCATTCTGAATTGAAGGACAAGGCATCGAAAGCAGAATTAACAGCTGAAACTTTGCAAAGTGAATTGGAGAGATATAAAGCACAGCTCGACGCAGCTCTTGCAGGAGATCCCAAGGAGAGTACGATGATATGCGCTTAAAACTCCAACAGCTGGTGTCGGAGGCTGAAAATGCTAGGCAGGGAGCAGAAGAGATCAGGAAGGACATCTCATTACTTAAGCAAGATGCTGAAACAGCACGTATTGCAGCCAAGGAAGCAGAGGAAAGGCTACAAGTAGCACTGAGTGAGGTTGAAGCAGCAAAGGAAGCAGAAAGGCACGCAGGCGAAATCATTCATAGTTCATCCAAAACTGATGCTGTCCAAGGCTCAACTTCAGATTTGCATGGCAAGATCAAGTTATCTGTTGAGGAATTCGAGTCTTTGGAGAAAGCTGAGGAATCAAAATCAGATGCTGACCTAAAAGTAGCAACCGTCATGGCTCAGATTGAATCAATTGAAGCAAGTCAAAATGAAATGCTCAAAAAGGTGGAGTCCTCTATGAAAGAAAAAGAGGCAATAGAGGCTGCCATTGAGGATGCTTTAAAACAGGCAGAGATGGCTGAAGCAGCAAAGCAGGTGGTAGAGGGTGAACTCATGAGGTGGCGTCAGAAAGAACAAGACGATGTGGCCTGAGAATCTTCTTACTCGTAGGAGATGGATAATCAGCTTGAATTTACATGATGAGAGAGTTTCGCAGTCAACTGCATGAATTTTTGAAAGACGCGCGTGGAATTTTACTCTTCTACTACAGCATAGTATAAGCATGCATGAATATTTTCTTCTAATTTTACCTACTCGTAATAGATGGAACCCCCAAGCAAAGCAGGAAAAGCGCGAGCATTCACCCTTTTACTGCTTACCTCGAGAAAAAAATAAATAAAGGTAAAAATCCAATGGCAACTTGAAGCTTCAAGTTCTTCCTCTGCGATAGGGAGCAATAGCCGTACATATAAGGACTACAATTCGGATAATGTAGAATTAGGTGGACCAAATCAAATTATAGCACTAAAGGGAACATGCAATCCTTCCACCATTTTCAGAAGCTTTTTTGATGCAAAATACAGTATGGATGTCCTTAGTCAGTTGATTTTCACCAAAAAAAAAAAAAAAGGCTACATGTTTAATGATATGCATAATACATATACAGATCCAACAGTTAACGAAGAAGATGAGTTGGTGCGTAAATGCACATTGACCTAAGAATACATGTTTAATTCCGCCCATCCTTAGAATATCGGGATGTTCTTTTGGAGGTTTTAAAGTTCTTGGCAAAAGAATGCCCACAAATCACTTGTTTTTATTATCATCTGCTGATGATGTTTGCATTGCTGTCATCAATTTCAGTTTTTTTTTTTTTTTTTGTGTCTTTTATTTCCAATAAATATCAATGGATTGGCTTTTATCAACAACAAGAATAGAGAGCAGAAGAATGAAAAAAGATCTCACAAGAAACCAACAATTTAAAGCTATGAAAAAAAAAAAAACTAACCCACTGATCATTCAAGATGTACATATGCAATAAGCCAACCAAGGTGGGAAAGTCGCGCCTGAAATTAGATTACTCTGAGCCGAGAAGAAGCTTAGGCTGTGGGTGCTGAACCAAGTCACTGCCAAAACCTGATTGTGATTCGCTGCAGATATGCTTTAAACGAAGAAAAAGAAAATGAATGGCACTGCGTGTCCGTTAGTTTATTTGGACTTTGAAAGATTCAGCGGCCAAACCGTACAATGAAAAGTCAAAAGGGTATGAAACTTGGACAAAATCACCATATACTTTTTAATCAAATGCTGCGGACTTTTAAGCATTTGCTGTGGGTTTAGGAGTGATTAATCCTATTCCATGCATCTAAATTTCCCCAAAAGCAAAACAAGCAATATCCTTGTCTCCTTAACTACCTTTCTGCTTTTCTTACCTACTGCTACTGGTAGGAGTATTGATCATATCATTATCATCAAAATCTCACAGTAGGAGCTAACTGACTTTTCTGCCGGCCAATCACAGGTGAGATGCGGAGGGCAGATGATAAAGCTCAGAACCTTTATGGATCCGAAAGCATGCCTGTGGTTGCCGTCACTAGTGTTGACCATCAAAAAGGTCCATGGGGTCCACCGTCATCAGCTCATTATAAAGGTGATGATGATTTCCAGATGATGATGATGATGAGCAGCAGCGGTGGATGGGGTAGCACTGGTGGGGTGAGCGAGATCGAAGAAGAAGAAGACGAGCCTGAATATTCAAGAAGAAGAAAGGTATTTGACTTCAATAAGAGCACGGGGGTCCCTGGATAGCATTAGAGAAGAGGATCGACGTCAAGTTGTAGGCTTGGAATTGGAGGAGCAGTGCAGCAGCAGAACTAGTACTCTGTTTTCGTTCGATTTCCACGAGGGGGAATCAGAAGATGCAGTGTACTATGTGGCACTAGTGCAGGGGGGGCAGCAAAGGGCCGCCGATCAGGACTCAGCCAGCATGGATGCGCTTTTATGGACGCTCAATCACGCCGCCACCGCCAACAATGATCCAACTACCACTCCTCTGCTCTTTCTAGTCCATGTCTTCCCCGAGATTAAGCACATCCCAACCCCGCGTAAGTAAAGCTAGTTTACTAATTTCTACAGCTGAATTCAGGGGATATTATTACTCTAGCAAATACTAAACATATCTTCAAGAGCAACTTCCATCTTCCATGATGATTATTCTTATTCCGTTGGGGGTTAAATATGGCAGTGGGAATGATGCCAGTGAGTCAAGTGAACCCTGAGCAGAAGGAAATTTACATGGCTCAAGAAAGGGGGAAGCGCACACAATTCCTTGACAAGTTTCTCATGCATGTTCCTCTGCTGCCGAGGTTCGTACCTGTCATACTCTTACTACTAAATTTGAGCAATAAAATCTGCAAATTTGGTGGTGTTGGGGGTTTGACAACATTATGGAACAGTTAAATTTTGTAAGGAAAAGAAAAGAAAAACAATAGAACTCTTTGCAATTTGATCAGGTTAAGGTGGACACCATTCTTATTGAAAGTGACGCGGAGGCAAAAGCAATATTAGACCTCATTCCCATCCTCAACATAAGAAAACTTGTGCTGGGCACCACCAAAGCCATCCTCAGGTACAAATTCATGCAACACTACATCTCTAATGTTAGTTATTAATTTTTGTTTTCAAACCTTGGGGGAACGAAAAACCAATGGAGTTAATTTGTTTCCCATGGACTGCGTGGTCGTTCAGGAAGGTGAGGTCTAAGAGATCAGCGAGTGGAGTGATCGATCAGATAGTAAAAGGTGCACCTGAGTTCTGCGAGGTGAAGGTAATATGTGAGGGAAAGGAGACGCTTGATTTCATGATCAGGGATTCTCCCTCTGGAACCTCTCCCTCTCCACAGGCCAGGGTACCTACTCCGACAACAACCATACTTCCCAACCTATGCACAGTCAACAACGTTCAAGCAGTGCTACCGATCAATCCTTCAGCTGTGGATGCTTCAAACCCAAGGTAGCTGATTTCTAAAACAGCAAATCCTGCATTCAAGAGCTGAGAGAGTCGATGCTCATGCACCTGGGTGAATAGCTCAGTTGGGAGAGCGTCCGACTGAAGGTGATCCGCGCTCACCGCAAACGTTGTCTCATCTTAATCACTTTAATGTTCATTCTTAAGTATACTTTCTACCTGGTGATCATCAGAGTCTGGCCCACAATATTGTTGTTTACCAATTGCTTAATTTTGTTCATTGTGTATATAGCTTCTTAGTTTATATTATACCAATAATCAAAGTTTTGCACAGAAATGTAATATGCTAAAGGGTTTAGGCAAAATATATTATTATATATTGCATCTCAAAGAAGAGACATCCCTATAAAGCATTGACGCAGGAAAAATAGTTGAAAAAAGTGTTAACAACACCGGTCGTTTTTGCTGCAGCACATACACCAACAATACAGGTACCAAGTACAACTTCTTGGAGTTAAAAAGGGCACAGCTTTCTCATGTTTAATCCCTACTTACCATATCCTGTATTGTTTTTGCGAAAGGTGCCGTACATCAAAAGAGTCAAAACTCCTGCAATCCTAATCATTAGTTGGTTGGTTGCCTGGACAATAGAATTCTCTCAATAGATTTCCAAAGCTGCTGTACAGAAGCAATTCTCGCCCTGGAGAAAACCATCAACACTGTTGTCTTTGTATTCTACAAGTTGAAGAATAGACTTTACTTCGTACATGATTAGTAGTGTTTATGGCACAGTACAGTATGTGAAACCGTTAAACGGCAGCAGGACAAGGACAAACAATACATACAATTTTTCATCATCAACTAATATGAACGAAAGTCTTGCCATCCCTACAACTAGCAATGTTTACTTTTCCAGAATATTTTCGTTCCATAAATTAAACAAATCTCCACACTGCTATATTCCTTCGTGCTAAAAGAAATCAAATTCCAGGTAATTATCAAAGCCTTTTTTATCTGCAGCAGCCGCAGCCTTAGCAGCCTTCTCACTTGTTGAAGCTGCTGGAACAGGTATCCTCTCAAACTCAACTGGCTTTGGGATCTCAGGGGGGGTAGCACAGCGGATGAGTGCCCAATTAACTCCTTCAAAGAAAGGGTGCTGCTTTATCTCAGTTGCGCCTCTTTTGTACGCCAACCGATGCTGTGGTTCTTTCACAAGCAATCCCCTAATAAGATCCCTTGCAGCAAAACTAACAACAGGTGAATCAGTAAATCTGAGGGGCTGTCCCACAACATTGAACAACGTCGCTCGATTTCCAGATCCTTTAAATGGCGTTTTACCAAACAAAAGTTCGTAAAGAAAGATCCCAAAAGTCCACCAATCTACAGCGCTTCCGTGACCCTCGCCTTTGATAATTTCAGGCGCCAAATATTCATGGGTCCCTACAAATGACATAGAACGTGCACTAGTTGGTTCTGCAATCAACTCTGGCAACGGGCTGACTTGGTTCCTGATCTCATTTTTCGGCTTCCGGTCCTTCTTGGACTTGCTGGAAAAGAGGCGAGGAGAGAAGCAAGTTGTTGGAACCACACAGGATGGTTGCATGCAGGCAGGTTCCATGCAAGTTGGCTGGACACAATAAATGGGGTTCTTCCGGAGGGGATCTGATTCAATAGAAGAGGTCTTAACTAGTGTTGGGCTAACAACGCAACGAAGGGAAAGGTCAAAATCGGATAGCATTATATGTCCATCTTCCCGTACAAGGACATTTTCTGGCTTGAGGTCACGATAGACAATCCCAAGCATGTGGAGATACTCCAGAGCTAGGAGGACCTCTGCCACATAAAATCTGCAAAAAGGACAATGAAGAAGTGTAAAAGGCGAACATTCCGCCTGCCTCAATCAAAGTGTGTTCTTTCATAAAGATGCTTATGGCTGGGTGAAATGGAAGAAAGCCAGACATTTGCAATTGCATTATTCCAGCTCACAAAATAAAAAACAAGAAAAAGGAAAATATCATAAGACTAAGTAAGTAGTAAATTACTTGGAAAAAACACTGCCCAACTTGTTTCCTGGACATATTTAACACATAATAAACAGTATGAACGAGTGTGGGAGATTCGTGGTACTGCCTTGTTCTCAGTAGCACACATAGTTTTTCTGGCATAACCAACCCATGCCTAGCAAATAGCGCTGGAGCAACCTTACCATTCCATCAAGGGTTCCCTTTCATTTAATACCTAATTCAAAATGCTCAAGTTTCACTATCATTTCTTCTTAGACACAGATTGAGATTGAAATTGTAGTCACAGTGAGATTTTAACATGTACTGTTGAAACCTGAAGCTCCCTAACTTGTAATTCAGAGTTTAATGGTCAAAATTTAACCTTCACTCAACTCTATGACACAAGTAAAAGACAGTATCACATGTCTACAATGTGCTCATCAATTTCATAAAACAACTGCATTATGGAAGTCGGAGCACCAGAAATCTTGAAAATACTACCAAATACTTTTGAGTATCGGACTCCCAGAAGTATCCAGGAGAAGAAGTAATATATCAGTTGAGGTTCAACTACAAAGTGATCAAAGAAATCTGGAAAGGTACAAAATTTACAGGCAGCTGGAGGCAGAGAAAAACCCACAAGATGCAAAGGGCTACCTCATCTTATGAGCTTTCAAACTATAGAAGGATAAATGCTGCAGCTATGACTTGCAAAAGAAGATTCAATCACGGGAAACATTGAAAAGGAGAAAAGAGCATGAGCAAATGAAAGCATCTTCAATATTGAAAAGTTATTCTATAAAGGATTAGACAAAGATCATACTTTACTGCTTGTTCAGAAAAATGTTTGCCTGGCTGTCTTTGCCGAAGAGTGTGCAAGTCTCCTCCAGGGCAGAATTCCATCACCAGACATGAAAATTTATCTGTCTCAAAATGCGTGTAGAGGGTTGGAAGGAACGGATGATCCAGGGACTGTAGTATTTCTCTTTCTGTCTGAGCACGAAGAAGCTTCTTACGACTTGCCAGAGATGCTTTGTCCATTACTTTCATGGCAAAGTAACACTTGGTGCCACTCAACTCCGCAAGGTAAACACTCCCAATGTCTCCACAACCCAGCCTTTTCAGCAATCTGAAATGGCTTAAGCCCAACATAGCATCTTTTGTTCGGATTCCTTGGATGGCTTCCCATCTCAAGTCATTTGCTTTATGGGGTTTGCTGACTCTGCAACTGAAACTGCTGCAAGTGCTTTCATCGCTAACATCACTGCTAGTGCTGTCTCTACACATACTGCTCTTACCACTCTCAACAAAATCAGCACGATCACTAGTTTTAGCACTCCCACTGGTTTTCCCAAGACTGCTAGCCCCGTCACTCAGTTTTCCAGAGACGGAACTGTTCTTCGTGATTTCAAGCTCAGAAGCTTGCTTCTCTTTTTCACCTGAAGCTTCTGATGAGCTTCCAGTTTCACTGAGCACAAGACCTACAGTTCTTGAAACTCGATCAACATCAGCTGAAGGATTATTTGAATGAGATATTTCTATTGATGGATTATTAGATCCTCTTCCATTGCAATTTGATGGGTTTTTGATTTCCAAGGATTCTACAGTAACTGTCGTCATCACTTTCCCAGATTCTGGTAATTTCTTGGGTAAAGCTGACTTGGATTTGCTTGTTTTTGAGACGTGCGGGGGCAGAGACCCGCAATCCTTCATTTCGCTATTTTGATTATCACCTAAGGGTTTCTGTCGCTGTTCTGCAGAAGGTCTAATGGCAGTTGTTGAGGCCATATAAGAGTATGGAGACAATTAATTGTAAAGATCAGATTCAACTCAAGCATCATTCAGCATCCGCCAAAATTATGGCAAATATAGCTTTCCATAAAGATTGACGTATTCTTCAACACTTGTACAACCAGACTGGATCATAAGCTTTCCCCTGGCTCTGACCACGACAGTAATAACTAGTCACTCATTTGGAAAGTTACAAACGCGATGATCAACAGATTTATAGTAACATACAAGCCAGAAATAAGACCTTTAACATTTTTTTGGCTGAATTATCACTAGCTATCTTGATGCTATATGGTTAAGGTAATAACCAACAAGAATTACAGATTAGGTCAACAAATGGAGGAGAAGTACTGAAGGTATGATATAATGATAAAGAAAATTCGCACGTAGTCAAGTCCTAGATCACAGATGAAATGCATTGAAGGCAACAATTAAGGCAAAACAGGCCCATCAAGATGCAATCTTTCACAAGCAGAATCGCAAGAAGGATGAAATTAAAGTTACAGAAACTACTAGAAAGGAGCTCAAACACAAGGCGTCATGCAGAGTTCCATCAATTGTTACTAAGGAGTAAGGATGGAACCTGGAGGTAACATGCACAAGGAGCTGCTACAGAACAGATACAGACTAGGCTGATATATGCGGCAAAACAGAGGTCCAGCTTAAAATTTTGAAGAAGGGGTCTTGGACACTAGATTGTATTAATTTCAACTTTAAGAAAAAAAAATAGTGTCCGTGGAAAATACTGAAACTCAGAAGACACGGAAAAGAATTGAGGACCACCAAAAAGTAGAGACGGGAGTCAATCCAGTCAGCTCCAGCAAAACCCCAGGCAGTTTCACGAAAGCAAGCATCAGACAAGTATACAAATACAGCCATACAGGTGCATACAAATTATTCGAGGGCAAATTCAAGAGCATGATTTCAACTTGAAGACCCATTAAAAAAAATCAGATCTTGATGAGAAAAGATTAAATTTAGGCACGGCCCAGATCCATCAGCATGGTAGATATAACAGGCTAAACTCGGAAGTAAGTAAAACTCGTCAAATTTTAGAAGAGCCCCAGAAAAGTAAGGAGGAGTTTGAAGCACCTGAAATGACAGTGGCAAACAGTAGGAGACGTGCAGTGTTGTTGAGTTGAGGAATCAGAGAGAAAAAATCACACTAGCAGAAAGAAAGAAAGAAAGAAAAAGAAGAGAAGGAAGCAACTCCTCTCTCCCTTGATTTAGCAAAACCTGTGGCAGCAACTGAGCAAAGTAGGGAGAGAGGAAACAGATGCTCCTCCCTGTGTCTGGATTTTGGAATAGTGTGGGGTGGGGCTGGGGCCCCATGGGGTCCTCAACTTCTGGAACGAGTCCACTTAGTTGTTAGCACGAGCAGTAGTAGTTTCCTACTTCAGGCCCTTCCCATGGGCCTCCCCCCTCATCCTATAGAAAGTTATCGTGTCAAAAAAAAAAAAAAATAGTAGTTTCCTACTTTTACTACAGTGTTACTGACTTCAGTAGTGGGAACTGGGAAGGGAAAAACTGAAGCTCTCACTCACGCAAGGCAGGGGATACGGGGCAGTCAGAAATAGAATCGGACGAATCAGACTCTTTTGTGTTTTTTATTTATTTTTTCTTTTCTAGTTAGTCTTTACTTAGTACTACTTTTAAGTAACTGGTCCCGTTTATTTTGCTATTTAGATTTAGATTGACGATGTCCAACCAATAAATAAATTCCGTCTTCTTTTTATTGGTCGTCCCAAAACTGAAGATGGGGGGTCCAATCTTACAAAATCCAAATCAACAGGTCGGACTCTACAGCCTAACCCTGTCTGCCATGCCCCTAACCACGTGTGACGAACAGCCCATAACAGATGAATCCTGATTGAATTCCGTGTCCCATTAAAATGAGTGAATTACACAGGCAAATGCTGCTGCTGCTGCTGCTGCTGCTAGTATCATTTAACCTTTACATTTTCCCAATTCTAATTTGGACTCGATTCTCTGAACTTGTTTGTTGAGTACTACTAGTACTATTGGTTTGGAATTGGGAGTCAAAAATAAAGAATATCTGCAGTGCTTGGTTGCCGCCCCTACTGGTGTCCGTGTATCAGAGCGCATTTACATTCAGCTGCAGTGAGCAATTTGGGTTTGTCAAGTATACAGTACTGCCGATGATGTTTGTGAATATTGAAGGAATCGCAGGCCGATCTTGGTTGGGTGGTCCCCTGAAGATGGATTAGGCAAGCAGTTTGCCGGGACCCCACCTCCCACCCATGCAGGCTGGCGGCAGTGCACAAATCCATCTCGGGCTCAGCTACCCAATGACCATTATTGTAATTAGCCGATCATTTACCACCGGCACTCCAGTACCAGACAAGAGGATAAGACAGGAAGAAACTGAGAGAGAAAGAGAGACAGCACTGTTATGCGTCTTGCATTCGCTTAAGATTGGAACTAGGACGCCCAGAATCCAAGCGACACATGCTTCCCTTCCTTCCGAGCGACACACGCTCAATGGTATCACGTACGCTAAATAGTAGTAGTAGTACCTACTACAAAATTAACCACTTACTGCGCACTAATTAAACTAGTGGTCGTATTTATGTGCTGCTGTGCTGCTGCAGCAGCATGCATGCATGGAAACTCCAATGCATGTATTGCTTTGGGGACCTAGCTGCGTACATTATGCACAACCACCTGTATACTACAAGTAGTTAGTATGTGAGGTCCCAGTTAAAGGCTATATGTTTTTAAACTTGGACCAGACCAGTCAGTCGAACTGGGACCGGTCAATTGACCGGTCCGAACTACCTTAAAAACCATCTTTAAAAAACTCGATCAAACCTGATCAAAAATCGGGTTTGATAAGGAATTGATGAAATCGGACAAAACTCGGTTTTTTCCCTTTGCTAGAGTAAGATGGACGCTTCTGACTGGTTTTGCCAAGATGAAACGAAACCAGTGCTTCGGTTTAAAAAGCCCTCCATGCCAAACCTCCTTAGCTAATCTTCACTTTCTTAAACCCAAAATTTTGACCAAATATGCATGAAGTTCCCATGTCCTAATTTCCAAGTGGATCCCAATTCGCCATGCCTAACGTGAACAAACACTCAAAAGCTATAGAAAGAGTTGAATTGGATTTAGGAGAAAGAGAAAACAAAAACAAAAGAAACAATAAAGAAAAGGGAGAGCTTTCAATGAGTTTATTGTGTGATATAAAAGAAGAGGGAGAGAGTTAGTCATTGTTGTAGCCTAGAGGAAGAAGAAGAAGAAACAAAAGAAAGTGAAAAACAAGGAAAAGCAAGTGACGCCTCAACAAAGAAAGTGGGAGTTCCTAGTTAGGTTTGACATTTTATTTACTTTGAAAACCCTAAAACGTTTTGCTAATTATATTTGGCCCTTTATAATTTTAGCAAAATGTAAAATTAACCCATCATATTTTCTAAACTACATTTCTTCTTATAACTTTTAAAGTTATTTAACCAGAGTCCTTTTGGATTAAATCTAAAAGTCATCAAAGAACTTATATAAAGTTGTAAACCACTAATTTAAGGGACACTTTTATATGTTATTTTGTATTATATATATTAATTTATATTTATGACGTCATTCGATTTGATCCCCAATCGAACCTATCTACCCTTAATTCCTGAGTTCGACCGAGTTAATATCCGATCCATGTTTGAAAACATAGGTTAAAGGCCAAGGTCCCCCCCCCTCCCCCAACCTCTCATGCATCAGCATGATTGACATTGAGCTTACCAGCAACATTTTTCTTATTCTTTTTTTTTTGTCGCGTTGATAACATTTGTATAGCTGGCTTAACCTAGGAGAAGGGGGGGTCTAACCGATGGATTCCTTCGGAGAAAGCTACTTGATAGTGGTGGCCACAATTAAGTGACAAGTATATGGTGGGAGGCATCAAGACTTTAAAGTCTTGATGGTGACCAAGAGCCCAAGAGGTTATTGGCAACATTTCTCTTATTCATTATGCCTAATATTATATGTTGGTTATCCTTATAGCTCTTCTTTTAGTCATGAGTCATCTTCACATTAAGGTAACTGCAAATTAATTTAAGCACACACTTGTATTATCTACTATTCCACTTTGAGTTGTGACGGGTTCTTACCATTGATGTTTAGTCTGTTTACCAAAAATTACCATCCCATAATCGCCCCATAAAAACCAAAAAAAAAAAAAAAAAGAGCCCTGATCATGAATATATGAATCTTTGGTCCTCCATTTTTCTGCGACTGCAAGAGCTTGTAAAAAGTAGCGTAGTAGAGAGTACAATCATACCAGCGTAAGTAGTAAATGGGCAGGTAATTGATGAGATGACTAGGAGAAGGAATTAAGGACATAATGAGATGGTGAAATGGAAATGAAGGTGTGTGGTGGGCGACTTTGAGTTGGCCGCTGTTTTGTTTGGCTGCTGTTGTCGCTGACATCTCATTTGTTTTTTAGGTGCCAGTCCACATCCAAGAAGATGACTCAAACTCAACTCCGTCCCTTTGTGGGTCTATTTTGTCAGTGTCAGTTGATTACTAAGATATTTAAGTCACACTCAAGACTCATTTTAGCGTTGTCTTCTTGCCTCTGCTTTATATAATCTAAGGGAAATGGTATCAGCGCTTCTCAAAAAAATCTCGCGCGCTTCTTCACCCATCGTCTCTGACGCTACTCACCAAAGACAGGCAGCTTATTAAGTCCAAAAAAAAAAAAGAGAAAAGAAAAATAGATCTTTGACTTTGACCACATCATCAGCTACGAACGACTGCAAAACACGCTGCTGTGCTGATTAAGTTGATCAAACTCTGATATTCTGATTTGATAATTAATTAAATAAATAAATACCACCAACAAACTTACTACCAACGAAACAAACAAAAGAAAGGCGGGATGGGAGAGGAAGCTCATCCATCACCCACCAATACCATCCATCATCATCTGTCAACGAAGAATGAGTAAGTAGTAGTAACATTAATCCATGATGGTGACGTGATTTGTGGTCCTGGTAATAAAATTAAATTCAATGGTTGGGGATGCATCATCCCAGCAGAGAGACTTGTACGTCACCATCTACACTTATTCCTACCCTAACTAAACTATACTAAGGGAGCGACCTTGCTTCCAACAGGATCACGAGGAACTGACAGAAACTGAACCACCATCGGACCGGTGCATATCATGTAGTACATCTACACCACCTAAGGGGGAGAGACTAGTAAAGCTATATGGTACATATGATCATGGCCTGTGCATGTGCGATAGATAGGCCAGGCACATGTGAGGGTGTGATGTGGAGGAGGAGCATATCTTAAATGTGTTGTCCACTTTTGGACGACCCTATTCTTGAATTCCCTCTCGACTTATTACTCCCGTCCTGCATTAGGCAGTACAATAAAATTGACGTTAGTATATGCTACCTCTGATCATATCATATGCTCCTCCCAGTCATCCTAAACGAACGGAGTGATGATGGACCAAAACAAAAAAGGCATTAGTAGCAGCAGTGGTAGTTGGCATTCAGCACTAGCAACACCACCACCTAAAACCAGTTCAACATCACCCACCTTCACTTCTGAATTCTTCCAACTGCATGCATGGTAAAGCTGAAAACAAATTATTAAGGTGGTGAACTATATGTATATGTATACATATACTTTCTGGTGCAAGTTGAATGACCGGACAATGTTCATTTATCTTTCCATCCACACACTTGTACAGTCCTGAGCCATAGGGAGACAAACTGGGAATACCCAAACTACAATGAGACCGCCACTGTTGCAGTTGATGCACTACAAAAAGCTGTTGAATTGGACCCTACTCTCATGCATCTCATCAATCCTTTCCTTTGTTATCAAATCCAAGCATGTAAAACTGAAATTAATGCCAAGACTTTAAATCCAAGTAGGTAGACTTTTCGCCCAACAAGCCTTGCATCCACCGCACACCAGCTCAAACTATTAAGGAAAATAATCAGCACCCCGTCCAAATATTAAAAAAAAAAAAAAAAAAAAAAAAAAGATTCTCATCCCCTTGAATGTTTTCCACGTCTATGCTTTTAGATAAATCCTTCCATGAATACTAGGCCAATCATACAAGAGAAACAGACACAGACACATATAATTATTATTATTATTCCAGGCCAATTAGATACAGCACATGCTGATGAGTGACTTATAAAGTCTTAAACAGGAAACAAAAGTGCAACCAGCAGAAAAGAACATGCGGTAATCCAAAGACATACACAAATATATACCCTTTATGTTCGTGGATCATTCTCAATGAAGGCAACGTAAAAATTATAAGCAAAGAGCGGTAAAATGATTTACAGAACACCTAAAAAGCAGCCCCAAATGCAAATACAACTAATCCACGAAAGCATGATTTCAAAAAAAAAAAAAAAAAGGGAGGAAGAGTGTTAATTAATTCTAATGATGTGAACCTTTCAAACGCTTCATCACGTCCAGTAGACTGGTATTACATGACTTCTCAATAAATAGCACCACATTCGAGTCCATGATACATGCATCGCAGTCTGGATATGGATCAGCTCTGTTTCCCAGTCCAGTCACTTGTCCTACCATAGGCACAGGTCAAATTACTTAATGGCTTGCACACTTGCAGTACGCAAATGAAGCTGAGTATAGAAGGTAAATACAATGGGCATAGAATCAATGCCATCTTAGAAACACTCAACAAGAGGATTGCACTCAACACCTTCACATCATCCTCAACCATCAATCCAAAGTTAGATGCATAAATTTACTGAGAAATGAATAATTTACCACCAACTGTAAATTTCAAAACACAGAGTAAATGTAAAACATAAAACATAAAAAAAAAAAAATAAAAGCCTTTTGACGCTGAAAGTATAGCTAGGGAGACAACAAAGATATCCATTTCTTTATCAGCAAAAATAGCAGAAAGCATAAAGGAAAACATAAATGGAGCAAACAGAAATTTTCCTTCGGGTAAAACAAAAAGAATTTTACATTAGCCAATCACTAAAATTTTAGATGCTCATTGGAAAGAGAAGGTTTCAGTTTTAAAGAATTTTAAGACCAGCAACATGTCAGAATTCAGACATAGTCAACCAACTAGATAGGATTGTATACAGGAAGTGCAGTTCAGTAGTCACCATCATGTAAATAAAGAAGGCTTACTATCCTGTTATGTCAAAGGGAGTTCTTTCTAAGGTAAATAATCACAAAAGGACTTGGATAATTAGCATGATAGATGAATGGGTTTAGATACACAGATCAAAGACAAACAAACAGAGAAAGATAGAAACATATGAAGAAGCCAAGGATCAAGATAAATCTAGAACTGGAAAAGGGAGAGCCTGTCAATACAAAAAGGATAGGGAGAACAAACCTTTAGCATAAATTCTTGAGGGCAAGATATCTTTTTTACACAAAATTATTGTGCAAACAAGAAAAAGATCAAATATAATAAATCTATGGAGAAAAAGATCAAAGATAATAAATCTATGTTATCAGACGCGCACATACACTTTCAGACACCTTATCTCAATCAAGAATTTCAACTTTGCACCACCATGAAATACAGAAAAATAGAAGCCATTAAGAATAGCATCACACTGAGTGAGAAAGAAATTAAAATCTTTGCCATTCAGATCGTTTGCATCCCTTGGCCATGAAAGAGATAGACAAATCAATACAAGTACTTAGATAGCAAGAACAAAAATAAAACTTAAACTAAAACATTAATCAGTTTACACGTGTAATGCAGACAAAAGAGCAATAAAAATCTAAATAAAGAAAGCTGCAGTCATACAGCAGCTTATTCCAGCCCACAGAACCAATCCTTTAAGGAACAAAAGAGTATAACAGAAAACTTGCTCTCAAGAGTTGTAAGTCAGCAATCATCCAATTGAACTTGTATGAGAAAGAAAGCATCACAACTGCTCAGACGAAAAACACCACAACTTGAGGTTCTGAACTTGTAATCACAAAAATAATAAAGGACAGGGGAGATCAAATGCTCAAAAAAAAGGACCAAAAAAAGCATTGTTCAAGGAGAATGGAGGTCCTGGGTTACAAAGAGCTCAAGCCTCATACAGAAAAAGAATTAAAAGAAGGAAATATATCATATGGTCTTATCAATGTATCTGTGCCATGCGAAGTAAGATTAATATATGGAACCGTGAGGCCTTTCCAGTGGCAAAAGAAGGCGTACAAGTGCAGTATACATATCCATTCATGCAAAGCTGACAAAGAAGCTACAATGAATACATAGACATAAACAGGAAAAAGAAGCAAAATTGCCAGCAGGAGAACAATACTACGGTAAACCCAACACAATAAAGGTAAGCAGCAAATAGGAGTGCATCTTCACTCAAGGAAAGATAGGATCAAATTTAGCTGATAGATTACATTTTTCAGATAAGAAAAATCACCTTTAACAGCATATGCAGCTGATATTAGAAAAGAAGATGAGACTCTTCGGCAAAATTCAATACCCTGGTTAGCCCATGTTACACATATGTTCTATACATATGAACTGTCGCTATCATCTGCATAATCGGAATCTGACCCATCGGTTCTAGTGCCGAGTAAACAGTTCATGTCAAACGATGACTCAACTTCCATCTCTTCCATGTCAATAGTGTCATATGTCATCCGCTCCTCAAATTTCTCATCAGAACAATTAAGGAACCAAGCAAGAGAACATTTCAAACCCTTCTTTGCAATCATTGCATGTCTTGGTTTAATAGTTGACTCAAGACCATAAGTGAAAAAGGCTGGGAAAGAAACCAAGTCATCCAACTGTCTTGCCATTTTTCCCTGGAAGTAATCAAAGCTTAATTTCATGACATCAAGATTTAGAGCAAGCAGTTGGGGACAGGCCATCACCATCTTTCTCACTTGTTCCAAGGAAAATCCGCATTCCTTGAGGAAATCCAAATGTTTCAATATGCAGTATTATTGAGGCTGACAATCTGTGGCATCTTCTCTATAACTCTCCCAAAACCAACAGGATCCAATTGGATAATTGAATTAAGAAAGTCCCTTCGAGTGCAAAGTCTTGTTTGAACATCTACTCCTATAATTTCAGGATACTGTGCAATGACAGATGCAAGCAACGATTTCCTAACATTGAACTCTAAAAGGGACTCAACATTTGGCTTGATCCTGTCTTCAAGTCCAAATCCAAGAATAAAAGGTCTTTTCTCTATTAGTCTAGCTATGGCTAATTGTGGTATTCCCAAGCTTTCTAGATAATCCACAAATGGTTTGATTGTACGGCCAACTCTCATTCCTAGTATTTGGGGGTATCTAGTTAGTACACCACCAATTTCTCTCCTTGCGACCCCTATTCCAACCAAGTAAGCCACTGAAGTACTCATGGTGCCTTCCAGCTTAAACCCCAATACTTCAGGATACTTCTCCAGAACCCGAGGAATATCATTTGGCTTGATATCCATTCCTTGAAGATACTTAACTACCGGTGCGAGATCGACAACAACACTAGAATGGAGGACTTGTGGGTATCTACGCAAGAATTCTGTAAACGTAGATTTTTTAACACCCAACTTGCCGAGGTAATCAAGGACGGGAACCATGTTTTTCTTGACACTGCAGCCGAGAACCAGTGGGTAATTGTTTATATCTTCAACAGTGAGGCCTAATCTGTGAAGAAAGTCCACACGTTCGCGCATGACATCTACAGTGACAGGGAGCTCCAATCCATCAAGCTCATCAGGGAAAACACCAATTCCCCTCAAGAAATCATAAACACGGGCTCGATTGGCTGCCTTCTCACTCCTAATCTGTGACAAACTAGGATGAGCATACAAAGAGGAAGAAGCCTTTTGCCTTTGAAGCCCTTCATTACCAGAATTGTCCTTGGACAAAGATAAGTCTAGAGAAGTAGATGAAACGGTTCTACCAGAAACTGAACAACTAAACCGCATGAATCTACATCCATTCATGGAAGAAGAATACAGTTGAGGCTTACAGAAGGAAATGGCAGGCACGTCACAAATGACAAGGGAGAAAGTAGGCCTGGCAATGGCCCTGTAGCCTATGATCATCATGACTGGTCTTTTAAATAAAATCTGCAACCAGCAAAAAGACAATGAGGCAGGATCAACAACATTAAACACTTTAAGGAAGACAAATTTTCATCAACTATCACAATCGCATAATGCATTAATCTCTTGCCAGCTAGAAACGGCAATTGGACAGGTCCCTATGCGCTAGAGTCAAGCACAGCAAATAACCAACCAAGACTCAGTAGTTCGAGTCTAAGTAGTTTTCTGAATCTACCAACTTGTGAACCTCCATAATTACTTTAGTATCATGACGTTTTAAACTTGAACCATAGAATCAACACTCCCCCACGCAATCAACCAAACACCCCCCCCCAACACAAAAAAAAAAAAGGAGAATACTTTGAGTATATATTGCGCTACCAAGTTGATGAAATCAAATATCGTGATTGGCACAAATAGTTTTCTTTTTTTTTTTTTTTTATATGCAATGCATGCACAGAAAGGATAATTAACAAAATTGGAAAAAAAAAAAAGATGAGGAAGCAGCAGTTTGTCACAGATTGTACTACTACTATTGCTACTACATTTTGTTATCTGCTTGAGGTGTATAAATTAGAATTGTTCTGAAAAATCCAAGATAAGATATTTTTACCAATTTTAGCTAATAAAACATAAAGGGAGGAGCAAAGCCAGAATGAACTGAATACGGCGGAAGAGGAGTAGCTTATTTTCTCTATTGGATAAATATTGAGGGATGTAGGTCGATGTGGAGGAGAATACAGTCTCAAGAAACCGATAATGAAGACTGAAGAGGCCCTACCCGGAGAGACAGATGGAGGGGGCTACGATCAGTACAATTAGAATCTGATAGCAGTAACAATAATCAGCACTTCAGCACTTCTTCTGATATCCGGCATATCATCTCCTGCTGCCAGTGGGAGGACTTGATACTACTATTCTTGAGTCTTTTCTTTTGGGGGCCTCCCGCCGCTGCTAGAACTAGAAGACGGATGATAGGACCGCTAGGCTGCCTTTGGGAGTTTAGGATTAAAAAAAAAAAAAAAAAAAAAAAGAGAGAGACTTTCAAGTTATTGAAGGAAAGAAAGATATCAGTGTCAAGTCTGGAGACTCTCTACTACTACTATTGCTACTACTAAGGCTTCGTTTTGGTTATCTTCTTATTTTTTTCTGGTACTTTTGCCTCCTTGGTTTTTTTTTTTGTAATTAAAAATTTGGATAGGTTCGACTCTAATTACTATCACGAGTCTGGACATTTTTTTTTTGTAATCAAAAGTTTAGATAAATTCATTTTCAATCATTATCACGGGTCAAGGTATGTTTTTGAAATTATAAGTCGCTTACAAAGATTCTTACAGATCCCTCGCCAATACAACTCTCTTGATTTTTTTTTTTTTTGTAATTAAAAGTTTTGGTAAGTTCAACTCTAATCATTATCATGAGTTAGAACATTTTTTTTGATAATTAAAAACATGAGTAGATTCGCCTCCGATCATTATTATGGGCAGAGTATGCCTCCAAATATATATTACTTACAAAAAATCTTATAGATCGCCCACTAACACAGTCTCGCAACTAAGCCAAGTTGTGTTGGCATTGTTCTTGAATATGTGATTAAACCAATTCACTCCTTAAGTCATTACGACCTTTCCCAATCAGGTGCAATTGAATCAGGAAGCTCAATCTCGGGTTGAATGAGTCGTATCCAATACACATGGTTTAGTGAAGTGACTAATTACACCGCAAGTTTTTTAACCAAATTTTGTAATTACTCGTTGTTGACGAAAAATCGTCTAAATCACTACTATAATTGTTCCCCATATGTCAACTAATTTCTCAAAATAATCCCAAAAAAATTATCTCAAAAGTGGGCATTAACTACTTAACTGGACTTTAAATACTCTCCACAATTTTTAGATCAAAACAAATTTGCAAGGACTTTCATTAATTATATTTAATTAATTAATCTCTACAATTATGTAATTTACATAAATTTTTTAAAAAATCATCATTTATAAAAAAATTTAAAATTATGTTTTTTAAAACAAGTGTGTCTATCGCCACATTAAATCATGCGGTGATAGAAAGAAATTTTAAAAAATTATAGATAGGTTAAAAATAAAAAAAGAATTTCTCTCTATCACCGCACAATGCTGTGTGGCGACTGAAAGATTCTACAAAAAAAAAACATTCGCTGCATTTGAATTTTTCGACGACGTTAATATTAGAAAATATCTCTAGACACCTTGCACTTTTGAGATTATTTTTTTTTGGATTATTTAGAGAAATTAGCCCTGTATGTATGATTGCAAAATGTATTTTAAAAATGTGGTGATTGATAAGTATATTGTAGTTTATGTTTTATTAGTTCAAAAGGTTTTACAATAAAGGGTAACTATCCATGATCCATCTTGACTTATTTATTAATTAGCTCAAAATTTTGCGTAAACTTTCTTTTGAATTTTTATGTAGCATGGTGCGGGTAATTTGATCAATTCACAAAACTATATCCATTTTAGATCACAAATTCAGTGCATTGGGCTACCTGACCCAATTATACATGATTGAAAAATTTATATATAACATAGGTGTGTATTGGTTCAGTTAAATATTTAGGAGACAATATTATGTGAAAAAAAGGCATTTTTTGAGGGGGCTTATTAGTTTGATTAAACGTTCAGGAGGGCAATGTGATAAAGAGGCATTTTTTGAGAGGGTTTATTGAAATTAACCCTATGTTTTATTTCAAGGTTCCATGGGCAATTTTATAAAATTTAGCACCTTTTTTTTTTTTTTTGGGTTTTTGGGGGAGAATCTCGCTCGCTCGCTCTCTCCAGAGATCTAAACCTTTTTATTGGTTATTCTGTAAGTTTCCAAAGGGTTTAATTAATAATTACACCCTCTACAGCGAGCGTTGCTCCTCCGCCCCCTGCTAGCTAACACTACATCGTGGTTGGATTGCAAGTCACGGATGTACGACGGACAAGAAGAGATTGACTATCAGCTCCAAATTTCAGGCAAATAGAAATTGGCCATTCAATCAAATACTAGTACAATTGAAGAAGAAGAAGAATAATGCGAGCTTTGTTTGGATAAATAATGTATACCATCAAGAAAATAAGCAAAGAAGCTACCAAAGAATGACGAGTACACATGAAGAATGAACATGCATGAAGAAGGGTGTTGTAATGGAATTAGTAGCGGAGGGAAGTTGAGGAGGAGGAAACTAAGAGGGAGATGGGCAGGTATAATAATAGATGTGATAAACTACTTATGCTGGTGCCGCCGCTGCTCCCCTGACGGCCATTATTAGGCAACACCACCGGATGTGTACCCGCAGACCCTCCGGCTCCACCTCCTGAATTAGTGTTCCATCGTCGTCTCCCCCTCCTCCTCCACACCTCCACGAGATGCACCTCCGCTGCCACTTCGCCCACCAGCTCCGCCTCCACCACTTCTGCTGCCGCCACCACCACTACTGCTGCCACCCCCGCTCTTTCCTCCGCTAGCACCAGTACCACCACCACTGGTGCCTCCTCTGGCTCCTCCTCCACCAGCGCCGCCCCCACCCGCTGCAGGAGCCAGGGCAGTTGCTAGGACAATGCTAAGGATGGTAAGGAGCAGCAGGAAATTGTGACGGCAGTGCATTTTGCAGTTGTAGAATGTAGACCCCCCGCGCGAATGCTGTCCTGTCCTGTCCCTGGTGGTGGTTACTAATCACAAATATAAATATTTTTGACGGAGATGAGTTTGTAGGTACAAAATGAAGGACAGGAATGATTGTAAGTAAGCAGTACTAAATTGATGCGCCTTTGGGCTTGATAACATAGGTATGCATATACACCTACATATATGATATATATATATATCCATCATATCACAGTAAGTATTATCACATGATATGGAATAATCATTGAACAATTCTGTGGTCTACAGACAGCACACGCGCTCGCGTGTCTCCGTTTATTGACTCCTAATTACTGGTATTTTTATAAATGACTCCCAATTAATTACGTGCGACTTTAGCTAGCTCCCCGTGTACAAGTGTCGTAGTTGTAGAAGCAGTACTTTACTTGTCAAAGATGATGATGTACAAGTCGTAGTAGAAGCAGTACTTTACTTCTTACCCAAAAAAAAAAAAAAAAAGTACTGTGCTTGTCAAAGATGATGACGACGACGACGTTGGTCGCGTCCCCACGCCGACATTCCTGTGGATTCTGTCAAGGGAAAAAAGAAGGCCATGGAATGGATAGATAGAATCCCCTGGCACATAAACTTGGGTTTTCTGCTGGGCTGACTTTGCAATCAAAAAACAACATATGGGGATGCTCCAATACCCAATGCCAGTTGTGATTAAATCACACAACAGTTTTTAGTCAAATTTACATGATATATTGGTACTTACTTAAAAACCGTACATTTTGTAATTTTGGCCTTAGTTTTAGATCCAAATTGGACGGAATCATTAACTACCGCCCAGACGGTGTTGTAATTCCTTACAAACTAAACCAAACCACCTACGGCTGATGATGCTGCGACATATAGGAATGCTACTCTATAATTTTATGACTTACACCCGCCCATGTTTCCAAACCAAAATGTCCAGTCTCAGAAAACCAACCACAAGAATGCAGATATATAGCAAACTTTACACCGCACGACGCATAATACATACTTCTAGTTCTAGCTGGCTCACAAATCTATCGGCCTCTTCAATGGCTCAATCCAGTTCTTGGCTGTCGAAAATTGTCAAACAAATAGTGCCTTGTGCAGAGAAACCGTTAGTTATAGTAATATTAATATGTCTTGTTAATTTAATTTGGGTAACAACAGTTTAATAGCTATTCACATCCATGACAAATGCAGCACAGCTGTGAAGGTCGGATTGTATATCAATCAGACAAGGAAGGAACGAATCCCACATGTCAAAGCCATTCGGATTCAATTAGTTGCTTCTTTTTCAGAAATGAATGCTTGTTTAATCAACTAATTTCTTAATGCACAGATGATGGAAAGCACAATGCTCCCCAACTACTCCAGAACTAATTTCTTAATGTCAGACAGCTTGCTCGTGTAATAATCCGGTCGATGTGATTTGAGGAATCTTCAAGAGTCGATAGATTTGTCACACCTGCAAACATTTATAAACACAGTAGCGTCACCTTCACGATGCGCAAGCTGCTAACCAATCTCATCATATGATCAACTTTAACCCAATTTTGAGAAAAAATACCCACCTGAAAGTACAAGCAGAGTTCTGCATCCAGCATTCTGTCCAAACAAGATATCAGTGTCGAGTCTGTCACCTACCATACACATTCTTGAAGTGCTGATGTTGAACCTGAAAAGGCAACAGTGTGCAAAATTTACCCAACCCCTGCTTACGCAATGGCTCTTGTACCCACATTTAAACATCTAACCAAATGACGTTGACCAATAAATCCATTTGTGCTTAACAGCAGAAAAAGTTGGCATACTTTTTAAGTAAAAACTTCATCATAAAGGTCGATGGCTTCCCAACCACAATGGGTTCTCTTTGAGTGGAACCACAAATGGCTGCAACCATACATCCTGCACCTGAAACCCAAAATGACCATTTAAAAATCAGGCAAACCTACTACAATTTTCATATTGTTCTCATCCTACTTAACAAAGGTAGATGTAAAACAATACCAGGCCATTCTTGCAAATCAGTCATATGTCCCACAGCATCACGGTTTGTAGCTATAAAAAGGCACCCTGGGTTCTCACGTATGCAGAGAGTTCCATACCTGCAGGTCATCACCGCCATTAGTTTATTAGTACTTTTAAGTCCACATACTCTCCCTCACACACACACACACACACCAACTAACAGAGACAAGCCTATCAACCGGAGTCCATTATGCCACTTGAATTATTATCTGTTACTGGAAGATTTGCAATTACTTCCAAAAGCAATAATAACTGAATGTGTCCTGGGGAATAATTCTACAATCTGGTTGCCCTTAAAGGGAAAGTATCAGCAGCAATATCTGATTACTTAAGCAACTTAAATACGTTCAAATTGAGAGGCCATAGAGACGAGCAATCGTGTCAAGTGAACAAAGATTCACCATTGAGAATTACCATGAAAACTCTGATTAGAAGTTACAGGTCCTTGCTAATTGCAAATAGAAAGGACCAAGGACTACACTTACGTGTAGGAAGACACAAAGACGTGGGCATCCTACTTAATCATGTCCAGTAGACGCTTAACCAGGTGATTGAAGGAACCTCGAGAAGATGGAAGAGAGAATTTTTCCCGGGGGGGGGGGGGGTGGGAGAAGAGCAAAGTTAGAACAGGGGATGCGAATTTTACTGTAGTTTGTAGTAGTTTATATATGGGTTGAGTCCAACCACAACAGCTCCAACCTGGATTAGAAATTTCACTTTTATGATCCCAACAAAGCATAAATAATCCAATCTTCATTGTTCTCAAGGGATTGATATTACATACACTCTTATCATGTTCAAAAAGACAGTTTGCCTCCAATTCCACCGTCTTTTTCCCATCTTCCTGCCAAAAGATAACACAATCATTTAGACGAAGCTCAAAAACCAGCAAAAAACAATTGCTTAAAAAAATATTGGAATACTGCAAAAGATTCTTTGCTCTTTCAATCAAAGAATGGCTGAAGCACAGATAAAAGACACCCCATCAACAAGAAATGGTGGATTTCCTGACTCTTAAAGTCGCATAGGATTTCCAAATGAGCAATAATTCCTCCTTTCACTAACTCCCACATCCTTTACTCATATTCCCAATGCAAGAATCTAATTTTTTTTTTTTAATCTTTGTAAATCAAGAACTTCATCTTTATTTCTTCCCTAACAAGAAGGCGCTTAATATTATTCAACATGGCCAAAACATGAGGAGAGTTCCAAAAGCAGCCTTCTCAACTTCCTTACAGTGATGTGAGAACGAAAGAAAAATTATTCATCAAAAGTTTCTGCAGCAACAATCCCAATATTTTCCTCAAAAGTTGGTTAAACCAAGCATGATTTCTAAGCAGATAAAATACAAAGTACAGAGCTCTGCCAAATATATGACAAGTTATCATGAGTACAGAAAGAAAGACAAATTGGAGCTTACTGGGCCACCAAGACCCACAAAACCAGCAAGTTCCAGTTCATCCAGTATGCCTTCCCCACCTATTACATACACCTGCAAATTCAAATGGATGGCAAGCTTAATATCTTGATCCAAGTAGTAAGAGCAAAAATTATGAGTTGAAGATTATTATAATAGTGGAATTCAGATGTAAAGAAGCATAATTATCCGACTGCAGCAATAGAATGTCTGGCAAGACTATTTATAGGAGGAACTCAAAGCAGTTCAGAAGAGCCAGAACTTCTACTCTTTCGTTGGAGTAAGTACTGGATGCTTTTGGCTAGAGCATTTTATGGAAACAAGGGCATATCAAATTTTCAATTAGCTGATAGCTGATAGAACCAAAGATATCTACTTTTAGTTACTTATATGTGTTAATTGCATAAGTAAATTTGAGTTTATTTGTCTCTCAAACTTGCAGCATCCTGTAAGTATCGTTCTAAAGCACCAACTAAATGAATAGATCTTGCACAGGTGGCTGCAGCAATAATAAAATCTGCTATGGTATTGAAATAAGTAATCTTATCATCCTCTAATCCATGATTCTTACCTAGCATCAATTCATAAAGAATGCTGGCAAGCCTTAGCATTAAAAGCACATATCACTGGAATGTCCTAATTTAAACTCCGTATTTAGGATGAACACTAACCTTCTTTTCTTTAGGGAAGTCATTAACTTTCAAGAACATAGCAGCAGCAAAGGAGGAGGAGAATATCTCGTCCTGTAAGTTGCAAGAGAAGTTCTTATCATGTATCCATCAAGTGCATTTAATAATAATAATAATAATAATACAAACACACACAATAAGCTCCAAGAGAAAAATTGATTAACACAACAAACCTCAGTAACAGTGATTCCTAGGGAATGGAACTTCTTGGCGTATTGCCTTCTTGATTTTGTGGAATTGTTCGTCACAAAGACCAGCTTCTTCCCTGCCACCACATGTTTGATAATTATTCTTTTCACCCCGCCATATAAATAAATAGAGCTCAATCCAACAGTTTGTTTGAATGGAACAACGGAAGGCATCATGGGAAGAGTAATAATGCTTTATTATTATTATTATTATTTTTTTTTTTGGGGGTGAAGGAAGAGTAATAATATGCTTGTGAGTAGAGCTGTTAAGTCAATCGAATAACTCGTTAGAGCTCGACTCATTAAGGCTCGAGCTCGAAAGATGCTCGTTTAGTTAAACAAGCCGAGCTTACTCGGCTCGTTTGATACTCGAGTAGTTCGTTAGAGCTCGTTAAGGATATATTTGTCATTTTAGAAATCAAAATTATAAAAATTAAAAATTATAGGTTTTTATTAAGGTTAATTTGCACGAACTCAAACTCGAGCTCATGAAGCTCGACTCGTTTGTGATCGAACTCGAGTCACATGTACATTTAACGAGCCGAATTCGGACACATTTTAAAACTCTTTTTCCTAACGAGCTCGGCTCGAATTAAACTCGAGTCGAGCTCGGCAGCCAAATATTCGGCTCGATTAACAGCCCTACTTTTGAGAGAGGAAGATTAGATGGAAGGACCAAAGTCGGAGAGAGATCCCATCAGGTTCTGAGTGATAGTGTAGAGCGTTTGGAAGATGAAGGGAAGAGTTAAGACATAGATCCAAACAAAAAAGGAAACAAGACGCCGAATTCTCTGATTGATTCTCCCATGCCCCATCCTCTCTATCACCATCATCCACCAAACAAGACGCCGAATCTATCTCTTCAGTTCCCTCGTTTCTGCCTCCCCTCCCTTTCTGCAATTGCCTTTGGGAATGAATTATTATAGTTCTTTAATTTTTTTTCTTTTTTGGGGGCTGAATGAACTCATGAAGTCAATCAAGTTAGCCAACCTTTTTTTTGGTTGAAATCGTAAGTAGGACTGTAGTGTTGCTGCGAATTGATGACCCCGGTGGTTATAGCAGAGTACGATGGTAGCTAGGTACCTAATTTAATTAATTAATTAATCCCGACAACGGACGACGTGTCAGACGGTGCGAGGAGTGGTGGTCGATGATTTTGAGGATCTCTCTCTCTCTCTCTCTCTCTCTCTCCCATTCCCATACAAACAGCGGATTCGGGTACAAGTACAACTCACCGAACTTTCCCCTTTCATTAACGGTCGCCAGCAGTCTGCACGGCACTGGACTTCACTGGCTTTTGAATCGATTCCCCTGCGTAGCAGTAGCACTTTTTTATTTTTTATAGGAAGAAAGAAAGTGCTGAATGAATCAACTCCTCTATACTACTAGTACTTGCATACGAGGTGATTGGGGGACAAGCACATACTTCCGTGGCCCATTTCTGTTAAAAAAACACTTAGACCACAATTTTGACCAAATCCATCCCGGGGTGGTTGTATGCGTATTTCCTGTTGCAAACTGCAACTGGCCAAGCAAGCAGTCCTAATTGATTCTATTTATGGTATGGCCAGCATACGTCCGTAACCTTGTGTTGAATTGCGGACGGACCGTAATTCACATGTTTTCTTTTTTTTTTTTAGAAAATAATTATTGTATAATCTATTCTATTTTATACTAGAGGAAGAAGAGGGACGACATGAAGAGGTCCAGGAGTAATTCAGAGAGAACTCAATCACCATCGAACCAGACAGATAAATTACGCATCCATCCGAATTTTTTTATACAAATTCACTTAATATAATAATTGATGAAGGGTAGTATTTGGATCTTGACCTTGCAACCTACCGAAATATACTAATGCTTTGGCGGTGGCAATTCACGTGTTTTCCACTCCCCTGAATAGACCCTCTCTGCGCGAGTGTGTGTGAAAATGTCGTCAAAAGTACACAAAAGGGGACCCCAAAACCAAACTGCCGGCTCCCTCCCACCCAACGAGTCTGCTGACGCTGCCTCCTGCCTCCTGCCTCCCGCTCCTATATGAAGCAGCAGCGGTATTACTACTCCACTGCTAAACTCACTCCAATTTCCATTTTCCACACACTGCTAGCAAGCAGCATTTTTGTAGAAGTAGTACTACTCGCTCCAACCGGAGGAGAGAAGAAAAAGAGAGAGAGACTCGGACGGAGAGAGCCTCCTTGCACTCTCTCGCATATCTTGCTTCTATAAGCACCATTCTGATATCCTCCTTCACACTTCTTTCTGCTGATTCTCTCTCTCTTTTTTTTTTTGTTCTTTCCCTCTCAACTAGACTATTTATTACCTTCCCTTCCAGACTCTCAAAAAATAAGCAGCCAAACCAAACAAATGGCTAATCTCAACGGGACAACCTCGGATCTGAGGACCACTTTCTTGGGCGTCTACTCTGTTCTCAAATCTGAGCTCTTGAACGACCCTGCTTTCGAGTGGACTGATGATTCTCGCCGGTGGGTCGATCGGGTTCGTCCTCTTTCTTACCCCCCTTCATACCCCACGCCTCATAAAATGTGTCAGCTTCTCCTTCTTCTTCTTTTTCCTACGTCTTATTCCAGGATCATTCGACAATGTTGACCGTCATTTGCTAAACCGATTTGCGATGTTACCAATAATGCCTTCTTAACATCAAATTTTGCGTCCTTTCACTTTTCATGTTCTCTTGCTGACCTGTGATTGGAGTTTCTCTAAAAACCCGTCATTTTCTTTAAGCAATGCATTTCCAATGATCAGAACAAAGCAAAAGTCCGTCTCTTTCTCGGTGATCATAATGCCACTCGCTGGATTTTCTTTTCTCTGCTCTATTTGGTCCAGAAATTTCACTGACAAAGAAGAAGATATCAAACTCAAACAACGGACACCCTTTATTTATTTATTTATTTATTTTATATTTTCGATTGCCATCGATCGCGGAGGCAAATCAAGTTTCATAGCGTTAAGGAACGGCATAGGTCTTTGTTTGATGATGTTGTTGTTTTCTCCATCAACATATATTTCCTTGTTGTTTGAGATGCCTTGCTCATTCTTTTAAGGAACAAATGGCAGTCTTTGTTTTCGGATGCTGATTTCCAACTTCTCCTTTTAGAAACTTGTGTTGTTTCACAAAGTTGTAACATTAATGATTTCTGAGATCATGGATTTGTAATTCTATGAATTCCCTAAAAAATTCTAGTGCTTTTGAGATTCCACTTAGCATGATACCCTGCTGATTTTTTGTTGCTGTCACTGAGCTTTATGCTATTCCCCTTTCACTATGCTTAGCTTTTTTCTTGCTTTACCGTGATTCCGTTACAAATTGATTTCTTTTTTGAAGCTTAATTTTGATCCATCTTGGGGGTTGTCGAGAATTTCCCATGGATTGGCCTTCCGTTCCTCATTTTCTTTTCCGTTATTAATGATGAAAATTTGCTCTCTCTCTCTCTCTCTCATGTGCTTGCACTTACATTTGCGTCTGAGCATATCCATCTTCAGAAAATGCACTTCTTTGAGTACTTGCTTTAATTTCTTATATTTTTAATTATGATGCAGATGCTGGACTACAATGTTCCTGGAGGTAACTGTTGATCTGATCACTTGGGAGTTATTACTTATCTCTAGATGGCAAAGCAAAAAGGAAATGACAAAGAGGGCCAGTGGTGGGGGGAGGGGAAGGGAGTTGGCAGGAAGGCTCTGTTTGCCTTTTTCTTGTGTGGTGATTTGCAGAAAACCATTTTTCCCTGAAATGCTCCAAAATGTATTCCGTTTTGCAGGAAAGCTGAACCGAGGTCTGTCCGTCATTGATAGCTACAAACTGCTAAAAGAAGGAAAGGAACTAACTGAGGATGAGGTGTTTCTTGCTAGTGCTCTAGGGTGGTGTATTGAATGGGTAGGTCAATGGTAATCCTACTTTTCTTCTTACTTTGATAAATAGAATTCATTTAGTTGCTTCACAGTGCAGAGCTCTGATACTCTTGAGTTTGCAAAATTTACAGCTGCAGGCATACTTTCTTGTCCTCGATGACATTATGGATAATTCCCACATTCGGCGTGGTCAACTTTGTTGGTTCAGAGTGCCAAAGGTTTACTTCAAGGATGAAAAAGATTTACATAATTCTTCATTAACTCCAATAAAGTTCTTTCGTGAAACTCTTTTTCTTTTAACTGCAATTGTTAGGTTGGTATGATTGCTGCAAATGACAGTGTCCTACTCCGTAATCACATCCCTAGAATTCTTAAGAAACACTTCAGAGAAAAGGCTTACTATGTAGATCTTCTGGATTTGTTCAATGAGGTAAACCAAGTAAAACATGGACCCTGCTCCATTCAGTTAAACTGCTATTGCATTCTAATGTCCATCGTAGTTTTGAATTGCAGGTGGAGTTCCAAACTGCTTCAGGGCAGATGATAGATTTGATTACTACCCTTGAAGGAGAAAAGGATCTATCTAAATACTCCTTGTCACTGTGAGTAGATGAATCTGCCTAACTCTTTCATGTTCAAATCCCATAAACTAGTTGCACTTGTTACCTGCAGTTAACTTTCCGCAAAAAGGAACTGATTAACCTACCGCCAATTCTTTCTATTTCTGGTTTTTGGGGAACCATCGATGTACTAGAACGATATGTAATATTCTGTATTCCATTTGAAAATATGGGGTTTTCCACAGAGGAAAACTTCTTTCATCCAGCAATCAGAATTAGAGCTTTTTAACAGGAGTTTTCCTCTTTGAATTTATTATCCTGGTATACATCAGAAATGGTTATACTTTTTTTTTTATTTTTTTTTTATATTACATCTGGGCTCTTTTTCATATCCTCACTCTAGGCAGATGGTATTGTATATTGTGTTGCATTAGGTCTCATCATGTTGTAAATGCTTTTTGTTGACAAACCTGAATTTCAACTATTTTAGGCAGTGGTATTAGGTAGTTTAATTTGTCCAATACTGTATCATACATGCACACATCTCTATTAAGTATACAATCCTTATCGTGGGAATGGTGATTTTCCACATTTGGCTGACTTTTGAGCCTGCTTTGAATTATTTTGGATGATGTGAGATGTAACATATTGTCCTCTGAACTAATATTTGTTTTTCATGCAGCCACCGGCGAATTGTTCAGTACAAGACTGCGTATTATTCTTTCTACCTTCCTGTAAGCTAATGTCTACCTTTTCAATGATTTTGCCCGATGAAATAGAGTGATTGACATTCAAAAATTTGTCAAGGTGAATAACAATCGTTTTGTTATTATTTACCAAATAGGTTGCATGTGCATTGCTTATGGCTGGTGAGAATTTGGACAACCATATAGATGTAAAGAACATTCTGATTGACATGGGAATATACTTTCAAGTTCAGGTAAATACTTGTTTGTCTGATGCAATCCTCTACTCTAAGAGTTTTATAATTGATGCAGTTCTAGTGAAACATGTGTGGACAAAGTTCTTTTGAAGTTATCTTTTGGAAGGGATGGGAGGTAAAGAGGTGAAAATTTTGTATTCTTTTTGTCTTTTTTGCTCTCTCTCAATGGCGGGGAAGGGAGCTTGAATTAGGGTATCTTGGCTACCATTGTCAGCATACTTTCCCATCTCTGAAGGATTTCGAAACAACACTTCTTAATTTTACAATGGTTTGTCAAGGTCAAACCGTGTCTGTAGGAGCACACTTTTGAATGTTTCAAAGTTATTCGTAGCAGAATACTACTGTTTTCTATTCTGGTAGATTAATAAAATCTTCTGGCTGGATAGACACTCTATTCAAGCAGTTACACCTTACAGTCCAGAACATGCCAAAATGGGAAGTTATATTGCGGACTGGATAAGCGTCAAAGGTTTCACTTCACATACAAAACATACATGCAAACACTTAGCCAGAAGATTTTTCTGACTGTGTTTTCACCCTGTCAGGATGACTATTTGGATTCTTTTGGTGAACCAGAAAAGGTTGGAAAGGTATAAACATTTGCACAAATGAATGCCATTATATTCAGAGTTTAATGTTCTTATACAACTTAGCAACTTACCAGCTGGGATACCTTACTTCGTCCTGTTGTCACAGATAGGAACTGATATTGAAGATTTTAAATGTTCTTGGTTGGTCGTAAAGGCACTAGAAAGATGCAGTGAAGAACAGAAAAAGATTTTATTTGTAAGGATGCATGCCTTATTTCTTGGCAATTTCTCTGCTTAAAATTTAGGATTCCCATTTAAAGCTGTGTCCACTTCCAGGCGCACTATGGAAAGGCAGATGCTGCTGATGTTGCAAAAGTCAAAGCTCTATACCACGAACTTGATCTCCAGGTTTGAACTTGGATTCTTCTCATGGAGAGATGATGCAAAAACTTGAGGATATTAAGAATATGCTAACTTGTTTTGTCGAGGCTTTAAGTTACTAAACGACAAATTTACTTGTGGTTTCAAACAAAGAATTTAAAATTGTACCATCATGAGGGGGAAACCTGATCCTGCATGTTTATAAAAGGTCCAGTTCTTTGCGTTAGGTGAACACACTTCATTTCTTTATGTCTAGACTTAACAAAGAGCTGAAAAAATTAACAGAAGATTTGGCTTCAACGTTCTGAATGTGGAAAGTTCAAGTGAGAGAGTGAGAGTACCCACCTTTCTGTCGTGCCAAAAGCCAGGGCCTTGAGGAAATCTTCTTCTGGCTCGCGTGACTATAAAATATGCCTATTGGATGCTTCATCTTAGGTCTCTAATAATTAACATTGCTCTAGGTTGGGGTAAGCCCCCTTCTTTGGGCTTGATCTTGCTAATATTTCCTCAGATCTCTACTATCATAATAGGTTATGAAAGATGATTTAGTGTAGGAACTATGGACCTCAGAACTAATGAAATTCTGCAACTTGAATATGTTCTCAAGATTATTCTGTCACTGATACTACTCTGTTTTGTACATTTAGTTGTCAGTTACGATTATTGTTGTGGTTCTCATTCTCGAATCAGCTAAAATTATTCTCGAATTAGTTTTTGGAATTCAATTTGCAACTCTTTTAGGGCGTGTTTGCGGAATATGAAAGCAAAAGCTATGAGAAGTTGACAAGCTGTATTGAAGCTCATCCCAGCAAAGCTGTGCAGTCAGTGCTGAAGTCATTTTTGGGGAAGATATACAAGAGGCAGAAGTAGAAAGGATATTCCCAAAGAATAAAAGCAAAAGAGACTTGGCATTTGGTATCTAATTGTTGAACAGGGGAAACAAACACTACTTGTTCTTGTTGATTTTTAGGATCAGCTTCCACATTATTATTATTATTATTTTTTGGTGTATTCTTGTTGTTTTGGCTTTGACATCCTTGGCAAAGGGATGAACGGTATTCAGATGTAGAAGGCAGCATTTATTGAGGCAACAATGAACGAACCTTAAAGTTATTCATCTATTTGTCTTCTCAAATGACTGATGAGTTTTCGTGAGCTGCAGCTGTAACCATACCATACCGTTTCCTTTCTGTTTTTTTTTTAAAAAATATATGCTAGAAGGTTTTGAAAACTGCAAGGCCAACTTTTCAAGGTGAAGAATGGTGCTCCTTCCAGTTCCATATGCCTGATGAATAATAGTAGGTTATAATGATCAAAAGAAACTTCTTCGTCTTTCCGGTTTGCATACGTAATTCATGGAATCGGGAACTCGCCCTTTCTTTCAAAGTCAAAGTCATTTGCATCAATAATTAATGTATCCTGAGATGACTACTGCAAATCTTGTGGCTCAATTTTCCAACCTGAGCTGAGGGGAGCTTTTGTGGAAAGAGCTTTTGTGTATTCAAGAATCCTTTGCAATTAATTAGCTTCCAAATACAAGCACTACCACCATATCATATACTGAAACCGCAAGTATTATTCTTTTTTTCTGAAAAATTGAAAGGGGAGCAGGGGGTATGGAATCGGGGTCTGAACCTTGGCTTCAACACGCGGTTTATTTACGGTAGTCAAAGGAATGGATTCCATGAAAGCAGCAGTAGTATTAATTATTAATTATTAAATGAGAGAGAATGAAAGAGAAATGGAGATGAGACATTTCCTGGCAAGTAGCGCAGCGCGCCACAAAGTCCACATTGGCACCTAAAGTCCGAGTCCGGTGTTGACTTGTCTAAGCTGTTTTCCTCTTTCCCTTTTGGGCTGCTGTGTTTCGTTATGTTTTAATACTAAATATTATTATTATTATTAATATGCAGCTAGGACTGTCAATGGGGCTGGGCCAGCCCGAGCTCAGCTCGCTCGGCCTGACAAAAAGTCCGATGAGCCTGATCATTTAGTGAGCCGGTCTGAGTCTGAGCCTAAAAATTAGGCCCGAATTAAATGTGAGCCGAGCTTGGACCTTATTAGGCTCAAACCCGATATAGGCTCGACCCTTTAATTACCTATATATATAATATTTATATCTTGCTATTATGTATAATTATATATCCAAATATATTATTACTAAATACTAAATATATACATAAATTACAAAACACAAAAATACATCTAAAAACTCTTTCATGAGCTTTCTTGAGAGCCAATATTGGTAATGCATAACTAAATCTCTAATTTTTCTTATTGGTTGAGTAAATTTTTGTATTAGCATAATATTGGTTGATTTTTTTTTGGTCTACAAACACAAAAATCATCAAGCATATTTGGATTTAAATCACAAGATTATAAAAAAAGTTTCAACTTTTAAAGATGTATTGGCTTATGATCACATGTTTTATTACTATTTTTCTTGCATTTTGAATGGATTAAATATAAATATTGTTGAAAATTTTTTGGTTTATATACATTTTAAGAATTATTATTTGTTCATGTTTAGTTTTAATAGTATAGTCTTGTAAATGTTAAATTAGTTTTACAACTTAATAGTTGTAGTAATTATATTAAGAAAATGAAGGAGTAATAAGTGAGTTTGGGCTAAACCCGATTAAGGCTCACAGTCCGAATATTATGTGAGATGAGTATGAGCTTCACATTTACGAACCCGAAACTCATAGCCCGAAACCCGAAAATGATTCAAATTAAATGAGCTGAGTTTGACAGGCCTATATGCAGCAAATGTGAGAGTATTTCTTCGTCACCGGCGGCTTTTAGTACTAGTACTTTTCAAGTTATCTCCTAATCCTAGTGAATAATATTATTGTTAATTATGTGATGGTGATATTCTCCTTTCCTTTTTTTTTTTTTAAACAAAAAAATTATGTTATCTAGTCAAGTCAAATGGACACCCTCTGCCTCTCTCAAAAAATTGCATACATAAATAAGTAACATTCCAATTTCTAACCATTGATTTGGGAGTAATATTCTAAAGCCATCTTTTTGATTGATCGACCACCCACAAGTAGTCCACAACACATGATGAAGAAAGGACTGTTCAACATCTACACCCCCCCCCCCCACACACACAAAAGAAAAAAGTCCTCTATTGAACGCGTCAAAACAAGCACACACACCCGCATTAAACGTATCGTCTAGAACAAGCCTTTTTGGTCAAAACACACAAATCCATCCCTACTTAAGTTAATACTACTGATTTAATTTAAGCAGTTTGTGATGATGATATTAAGTTAGACCTTAACATTATTATTATATTGTACTACTAGATAAGACCGTATAACTGCATTACTCACTCACTGAAACGGAAATTTAATTTTTTTCCTTTGGGCAAAACATACCCAAAAGGGAATTTTTCTTGAGACAAGAATTGGGAATTTTTCATGTTGTTTAAACTGAAGACAACATATATAATTCAAGAATGGTTTCGTTTTAAGTGGGCCATGGATGATAAGATTTGTGTATGGATCATGGATGGTATGTGCAACTGTAGTAGTTTATTAATTAATTGCAGAAAGTCCGAAGATGTCCGTACGTAAGGTTCAGAGGGAGGGCGCGTTGTTGTTAATTAATTTGGTAAATTCCAAATTCGCAGTCCCAACAACAAAGAAAAGGCCACAATTAGAAAAGTCCATATGACTTCTTCTTCTTCTTCTTCTTCTTCTTGTGAATTAGGATTAGGAGTAACAACAACATTTCAACAACAAGTACTACTCCTCTGCAAATTTTTACATGGTCAATAATCATTCATTCATTCATCACTAGCATTTTCATCTCGTTACTCTACACATTCTTCTTCTCGCCCGGCCTCCCGCTTTCTCCTGAAAAATTACCCATTATATTCATTCTTCAAACCTTACCCAATAAAGAATTTCATTTTTTTCCCCTCTTGAGGAAATAAAGAATTTGATTCAAAGTTCAAACAATACATACGTAAATCCCTTTTTCTGGAACCTTTTCTTGTTTTCTGACATCCCAAATTTTTGATTCCCTTTTTGGTTACCCATCTTCCGGCGTTCCGTTTATTTGTTCTTTTTTTTTTTTTTTTCCTTTTTTGGTTTCCTGAGGTATACTAGTCCCTCCACTTTCCTGTCCTCCTTCATTCTCATTCACATTCACATTCAGTTGAACAGCATTCATATGTGTTATGTAATTTTTCTTCACTCCAGCAAATGAAAATATGTCAGCTTCCTCTCCTTTTGCCAGCCCTGTTTCTTGGTTTTTTCCGAAATAAGTAAGCATATGCTACTAGTATATGTCAGTTGCTACTATCGAAAATTTCTTTCTTTTTCCATGTCAAATATGTGAGACTCCACTTTTGGTTGTTGATCAGAGCCCATTTCTGCTGGCTGTACCTCTCTATCTCACGTATGCTACTACATAATACTACATAAGAAGAAGAAGGAAAAAAAAACAGTTCTGATCTTTTGATATTGTAAGAATTTGCTCAACGGCGAATACAATTAGAATTGGTCGGTTGAGTTAGTATTGGTTGAACTCAGCTACAAGGATTGGCGGCATTGAGAATTTCGATTCTCGTCGGCAAGTATGAAGCTCTTGGTGCGCGTAATCGAAGCCAGGGATATACCACCAATGGACCCAAATGGGTTCAGTGATCCGTACGTGAAATTGCAGTTGGGAAAGCAGAGGTTCAAGACCAAGGTGGTTAAGAAGTGTTTAAATCCATCCTGGTGTGAGGAATTTGCTTTCCGGGTCGATGACTTGAAGGAAGAACTTCTCATATCTGTGTTGGACGAAGATAAGTACTTCAACGATGACTTTGTTGGGCAGATCAAAGTCCCTATTTCTCGAGTTTTCGATGCTCCAGACAATTCCCTTGGCACCGCTTGGTACACCTTGCAGCCCAAGAACAAGAAAGCCAAGAACAAGGACTGCGGTAACTAATCTCTTTTTCTTTCTGGGCTTCTACTATTTCTGACTTTCTTATGATCCTATGTTTTGCTTTAGTGCTCAATTTGGCATTTTTGGTCTTCAATAGCTGTTGTTGTCGTTGCAAAGATGAGGTAGTTGTCAAATGTTAAAAGCTAAAAAGTTTCCATTTTGGCAAGTTTGGTGTCATTGCCAATTGCAACCGGGACTTCAATAGTACTGACACTGTTGTTGTGTTCGACTAGGTGAAATTCTTTTGACAATATGTTTATCGCAAAGCAATTCGTTTGTGGATTTGCAATCTGGTGGTGATAATGGCCCATTGTCAAGGAAGTACGCTGACATGACAATGGGTTCTCCCTCAAGGCCTGCTAATGGTCCCCCGAGATCACCTTCGCCAGTGAGATTAGAAGAAGCTGCCCCTGCCCCTTCTAAGGAAGAAAGGTCACATGCCCAAACTTTTGCTGGTCGAATTGCTCAAATGTTTAACAAAAATGGGGATACAGCATCTGCCGCCACCAATAAAGTTCCTGACGTCTTGGAGCCATTTGAAAGTGCAAATTCGGCGGATGATGAAGACAAGTCTGATGACCAGCCCTCCTCAAGCAGCTTTGAAGAACTTATGAGAAGCTTGGAGGTGAAAGAGCAAGGGGGCGACATTCCAAGCAACCTACCTGGGGGAGTAGTTCTAGACCAAATGTATGCAATTGCACCTCATGAGCTGAACTCTTTACTCTTTTCACAAGATTCAAACTTTTTCAAATCTGCGACGGATATGCAGGGATCCACAGAGTTGCAGGTAGGGCCTTGGAAGTTTGAAAATGGTGGTGAAAACCTTACAAGGACGGTTTCCTATATTAAAGCTGCAACTAAGTTAATTAAGGCTTTGAGAGCCACTGAAGATCAAACTTATCTGAAAGCTGATGGCAATACTTTTGCAGTTTTCTCGAGTGTGAGCACTCCAGATGCTCCATATGGTAGTTGTTTTAGGGCAGAAGTGCTTTATTGCATCACTTCAGGGCCTGAGCTCCCATCAGGGGAACAATCTTCTCGGTTAGTTGTGTCATGGCGAATGAATTTCTTGCAGAGCACTATGATGAAAGGTATGATTGAAAGTGGGGCAAGACAAGGTATAAAAGATAGCTTTGTGGTATATGGGAATTTGTTATCTCAAACTGTGAAGCCGGTTGATATGAAAGA